TGTGAAGCACTGGGATGGGCTGGGAGGCACTGGGAGGCACTGGGATGGACTGGGAGGCACTGGGATGGACTGGGAGGCACTGGGATGGATTGGGAGTCACTGGGATGAACTGGGATGAACTGGGATGGACTGGGAGTCACTGACATGGACTGGGAGCACTGTGAGGCACTGGGATGGACTGGGATGAACTAGGATGAACTGGGATGGACTGGGAGGCACTGGGATGGACTGGGATGGACTAGGAGTCACTGGGAGCACTGTGAGGATGGACTGGGAGTCACTGGGATGGACTGGGAGTCACTGGGAGCCACTGGGATGGACTAGGAGTCACTGGGATGAACTGGGAGCACTGTGAGGCACTGGGATGGACTGGGATGGACTGGGATGAACTGAGATGGACTGGGACGGAATGGGAGACACTGGGATGGACTGGGATGGACTGGGAATCACTGGGAGCACTGTGAGGCACTGGGATGGACTGGGAGTCACTGGGATGAACTGGGAGTCACTGGGTTGAACTGGGTTGAACTGGGAGAGTCCCAAGGTGTGTGTCCCCCCCCCCCAGAGGAGACGGTGACGATGGCGGTGGCGTTCAGCGAGTACCAGCCCCACGTGGGTGACCAGGACTGGGATGAACTGGGATGGACTGGGATGGACTGGGATGAACTGGGATGAACTGGGAGGGTCCCAAGGTGTGTGTCCCCCCCCCCAGAGGAGACGGTGACGATGGCGGTGGCGTTCAGCGAGTACCAGCCCCACGTGGGTGACCAGGACGCGCTGAAGCTGACGGCGGCGGGCGCCGTGCAGGAGACGGGCCAGGTGGTGGCCAAGGAGCTGCGGGTGCGGCTGCACAACCCGGAGCTCACGCTGACGGTGGGGAACCCCCCAACTTTCCCCTCCCTCCCTGAAATCCTTGGATAGCCCCTTCTTCCCAAAAAAACCGGGATACCCCCGTGACCCCCCAGTGGGTTTAATGGGTAGACCTGGTGTCCCTTTTGTCCCGTTGGGTTTAATGGGTAGACCTGGTGTCCCTTTTGTCCCATTGGGTTTAATGGGTAGACCTGGTGTCCCTTTTGTCCCATTGGGTTTAATGGGTAGACCTGGTGTCCTTTTTGTCCCATTGGGTTTAATGGGTAGACCTGGTGTCCCTTTTGTCCCATTGAGTTTAATGGGTAGACCTGATGTCAGTTAGGCCCCATTGACTTTAATGGGTAGACCTGATATCTCGTCTACCCCATTGGTTTCAACGGGTAGACCTGGTGTCCCTTTCTCCCATTGACTTTAACGGGTAGACCCGATGTCCTTTTCTCCCATTGACTTTAACGGGTAGACCTGATGTCTCATTTCCCCCTTTGATTTTAACGGGTAGACCTGTTGTCCCTCTGGCTCTATTGACTTTAATGGGTAGACCTGTTGTCCCTTTCTCCCCGTTGACTTTAACGGGTAGACCTGTTGTCCCTTTCTCCCCATTGACTTCAATGGGTAGACCTGTTGTCCCTTTCTCCCCATTGACTTCAACGGGTAGACCTGATGTCCCCCAAATATTTTTGGGTTAAAATCCCTTCATTTTGGGGTCCAGAATGATCATTTTTTATGCCTTAAAAACCCTCTTTTGGGGGGTAAAAAATTACCAATTTGGGGCATAAATTGCCCGATTTTGTGGGTAAAAAACCGCCGATTTTGGGGGTAAAAAAACGTCGATTTTGGGTGTAAACTACCTGATTTTGGGCGTAAATTACCCGATTTTGAGGGTAAAAAATTACCCATTTTGGGCATAAATTGCCAGATTTTGGGGGGTAAAAAATTACCAATTTGGGGCATAAATTGCCCGATTTTGGGGGTAAAATATTGCCGATTTTGAGGGGTAAAAAACGCCGATTTCGGGCGTAAATTACCCGATTTTGGGGGGTAAAAAAATTACCAATTTTGGGTGTAAATTGCCAGATTTTTGAGGGTAAAAAATTACCAATTTTGGGTGTAAATTGCCCCGATTTTGGGGGGTAAAAAATGTTGATTTTGGGCGTAAATTACCTGATTTTGGGTGGTAAAAAACGCCGATTTTGAGGGTAAATTACCCGACTTTTTTAGGGTAAAAAGTTACCGATTTCGGGGGGTAAAAAAATGCCAATTTTGGGCGTAAATTACCCAATTTTTGAGGGTAAAAAATAGCGATTTTGAGGGTAAATCTCCTGGATTTTGGGGGTAAAAAATTGTAGATTTGGGGGGTAAAAAATGCCAATTTTGAGGGGTAAATTACCCGATTTTGAGGGTAAAAAATGCCAATTTTGGGGCATAAATTACCTGATTTTGGGGGATAAAAAAATAGCGATTTTGAGGGTAAATCCCCTGATTTTGAGGGTAAAAAATTGCCAAATTTGGGCATAAATTACCCGATTTTGAGGGTAAAAAATTCCCAATTTTGGGGCGTAAATTGCCTGATTTAGGGGGTAAAAAATTGGCGATTTTGGGGGGTAAAAACCACTGATTTCGGGCATAAATTGCCCAATTTTTGGGGGTAAAAAAATGCCAATTTTGGGTGTAAATTGCCCCGATTTTGGGGGGTAAAAAACGCCGATTTCGGGCGTAAATTACCCGATTTTGGGGGTAAAAAAATTACCAATTTTGGGTGTAAATTGCCAGATTTTTGAGGGTAAAAAATTACCAATTTTGGGTGTAAATTGCCCCGATTTTGGGGGTAAAAAACCACCGATTTTGGGGGGTAAAAACCGCTGATTTTGGGTGTAAATCACCCGATTTGGGGGGTAAAAAATTACCAATTTTGGGCGTAAATCACCCGATTTTGAGGGTAAAAAATGCCGATTTTGAGGGTAAATCACCCGATTTTGGGGGTAAAAAATTACTGATTTTGGGGGTAAATTACCCAATTTTTGAGGGCTAAAAACTTACCAATTTTGGGCGTAAATTGCCCAATTTTTGAGGGTAAAAAATGCCAATTTTGGGTGTAAATTACCCGATTTTTGAGGGCTAAAAACTTACCGATTTTGGGCGTAAATTGCCCAATTTTTGAGGGTAAAAAATGCCAATTTTGGGTGTAAATTGCCTGGATTTTGGGGGTAAAAAATTTTCGATTTTGGGTGTAAATTTCCTGGATTTTGGGGGGTAAAAAATGCTGATTTTGGGCGTAAATCACCCGATTTTTTGAGGGTAAAAAATAGCGATTTTGAGGGTAAATTACCCAGGTTTTGAGGGTAAAAAAATGCTGATTTTGGGTGCTAAAAAATTACCAATTTCGGGCGTAAATCACCTGATTTTGGGGGGTAAAAAATTGCCAATTTGGGGCGTAAATCACCCGATTTTGGGGGGTAAAAAATACCGATTTTGGGTGTAAATTACCCGATTTTTGACGGCTAAAAACTTACCGATTTTGGGCGTAAATTGCCCAATTTTTGAGGGTAAAAAATGCCAATTTTGAGGGTAAATTGCCCCGATTTTGGGGGGTAAAAAATTGCTGATTTTGGGCGTAAATTACCTGATTTTGAGGGTTAAAAAATTACCTGATTTTGGGCGTAAATTGCCCGATTTTTGAGGGTAAAAAATGCCAATTTTGGGGGTAAATTACCCAATTTTTGAGGGTAAAAAATTGCCAATTTTAGGCGTAAATTGCCCAATTTTGGGGGGTAAAAAAATGCTGATTTTGGGGGCTAAAAAATTCCCAATTTTGGGCGTAAATCACCCGATTTTGGGGGGTAAAACCAGCCGATTTTGGGCGTAAATCGCCCCATTTTGGGGTTAAAACTGCCGATTTTTTTGTGAGTTGACTCCCCCCGATTTTGGGGTTAAATCCGAGGATTTTGGGTCTCTCCCAGCTCCTGGCTCCCGCCGTGGAGGGGCAGGACACGCCGATCCAGGTGGTTTTCCAGAACCCGCTGCCCGAGGCCCTGAGCGGGACCACCCTGAGGATGGAGGGGGCGGGGATCGCCTGCCCCAAACCAGTGCAGCTGGGGTGCGATACTGGGAGCACTGGGACCGACTGGGGGGCACTGGGAGGGGATTGGGATAAAGTGGGGGCCACTGGGAGG